TGTGCTTATCAGGGTCTCCCTTCAGACTGGGCCCTGAGAGGGTGCAGGTGTTTGTCTCATTCTGGTAGTTCCATCACCTAGCCACAGTAGGTGCTTAATCAGTGTTTGCAGAATGAATGAATGAGTTATCCCTAGTTCATGGATTTTGACCTCCTGCTCCCCTGCCTTCTCCCAAGCGTCTTTAGACCTCTCCCTGAGGAACCCCCATTTGGGGAGGCCAGAGATGAAACAATTGAAGGACAGTAATGGGATGTCCTGGAGGGTTCTCTGGCTGGGAGGAAGAAGGGAGGAGCAGGAAAGGTCACTGAGGAAGAGGGAACAGCAAATGCACAGGCAGAAGAGCCCTTGGAGAGTGGTGGTATAAGAAGTTGCCGAGGGTCACTCTCCATACTTAACAGGCCAAGACAAGTCCTCACCATACAGCCGAGGACCTTCCCTCCTCTTGTATGGGGGAGACAGGGCCAGATACAGATGGGGGATAGGGCTTCTCCAGATGGAGGGGGATCTAGGGGAATCCCAGGGGACATGGTTAGGAAAGCCTTCTTAGAAAAGGACTTATGAGAGGTGGGTTTTTAAGGATGACTAGGAGATTGCCAGGAAGCTAAATAAGGGCACTCCAAGCTGATACAATGAAAGACCAAAGAACTGCAGTTAAATTTGGCCAAATAGTAATAAAGTAAAACAATTATAGAACATATTTCTTTTTTTTTTTTTTTTTTTTTTTTTTGAGACAGAGCCTCAAGCTGTCCCCCTGGGTAGAGTGCCGTGGCATTACAGCTCACAGCAACCTCCAACTCCTGGGCTCAAGGAGTCTCCTGCCTCCGCCTCCCAAGTAGCTGGGACCACAGGCGCCCGCCACAACACCCGGCTATTTTTTGGTTGCAGCCGTCATTGTTGTTTGGCGGGTCCGGGCTGGGGATTCGAACCCGCCACCTTAGGTGTACGTGGCTGGCGCCTTAGCCGGTTGAGCTATAGGCGCCGAGCCACATATTTCTTTAATTATTTACTTATTTTGAGACAGAGTCTTACTCTGTAGCCCTGGGTAAAGTGTCGTGGCATCATAGTTTACTGCAACCTCAGACTCTTGGGCTCAAGCTATCCTATTGCCTCAGCCTCCCAATGCCCGGCATGTACCACAATGCCTGGCTAGTGTTTCTCTTTTTAGGGGAGATAGCATTTTACTCTTGCTCAGGCTGGTCTTGAACTCCTGAGCTCAGGCAATCTACCTACATCAGCCTCCCAAAATGCTAGGATTACAGATGTGCGCCACCATGCCTGGTTCAGAAAATATTTACTGAGATCTTACTATTTCTTCAAATTCTCCCAATAAGAATCACAATATTGGCTCAGCACCCATAGCTCTGTGGTTAGGGCACTGGCCACATGCAGTGGGGCTGGTGGGTTCGAAGCTGGCCCAGGCCTGCTAAACAACAATGACAACAAGGGGCCAGGCATGGTGGCTCATGCTTGTAATCCCAGCACTTGGGAGGCCTGAAGTGGGTGGATTGCCTGGGCTCATAGGTTTGAGACCAGCCTGAGCCAGAACAAGACCTCATGTCTAAACAAAAAATAGCCGGGTGTTGTGGTGGGAGCCTGTCATCCCAGCTCCTTGGGAGGCTGAGACAATAGAATTGCTTAAGCCCAAGAGTTTGAGGTTCCTGTAAGCTGTGACGCCACAGCACTCTACCGATGGCTACAAAGTGAGACTCTGTCTCAAAAACAAAACAAAAAAAACAATGACAACAACAACAAAATAGCAGGGAGTTATGGTGGGCGCCTATAGTTCCAGCTACTTGGGAGGCTGAGGCAAGAGAATCGCTTAAGCTCAAGAGTTTGAGGTTGTTGTGAGCTGTGATACTATGGCTCTACCAAGGGTAACATAGTGAGACTCTGTCTCAAAAAAAAAAAAAGAATCACAATATCGCAATATTGGCCAGGTGCAGTGGCTCATGGCTATAATCCTAGCATTCTGGGAAGCAGAGAAGGGTATATTGCTGGAGTCAGGAGTTCGAGACCAGCCTAAGCAAGAGTGAGACCCCATCTCTAAAAAACAAAAAAAGCTAGCTGGGTGTGGTAGGCACTTGTAGTCCCAGGAGGTTGAGACAAGAAAATCACTTGAGCCTGAGAGTTTGCAGTTGATGTGAGCTATGATGCCATGGTACTCTACTGAGGGCAACATAATGAAACTCTTGTCTAAAAAGATTTTTTTAAAAAAGGTCATGGCTCACAACTATAATCCTAGAACTCAGAGGCTGAGACCAGTAGATTGCTTGAGACCAGGAGTTCAAGACCAGCCTGAGGAAGAGTAAGGCACTATCTCTAGTAAAAATAGAAAAATGAGGCAGGCATTGTGGTGGGTACTTGTAGTCTCAGCTACCCGGAGGCTGAGGCAGAAGGATCATTGGATCCCAGGAGTCTGAGGTTGCTATAAGCTAGGCTGATGCCACAGCACTCTTGCCTGGGGCACCAGAGACTGTCTCAAAAAAAAAGATACACATGCAATACAAGGTTGGTAGGATTATTTGCTCTATCTTCTTTTTTTTTTTTTTTTGTGGTTTTTGGCCAGGGCTGGGTTTGAACCCACCACCTCCGGCATATGGGGCAGGCTCCCTACTCCTTGAGCCACAGGTGCCACCTATTTGCTCTATCTTCATGAGGAAGAAACTGAGGCTCAGAGAGGTAACATGTCTTGGCTTCTCAAGACCTGCTTTCCTTGAGAAAAGTCCACCATTCAGCTGAAGCTAGTTCAGCCTACAATTTCACCATACCATTTCCCTACCTGCAAAGGTCAAATCCTGAGGTCAGGACAGGGCCTCCCAAAGCCCAAACCGTTCACCTTCTTGACCATTCACCCTCCTGCCTCTGGAAAGCATGCACCATCTCCTCCAATCTGGCTTCATAGCATGAGAGCTAGAGAGAGGTTTCAGGGCAGGGTCGGCTACAGGTTTGGGGACTGGATCTCCTCCCACTGGGAGTCCCTTGCTAGGCTAGAACCTGGTCTGGAGAACACACAGACATGTGTGTGGAAATACAGATATAGACACACACCCAGACATGCACAGACACCTCCCCAACCTATCTAGAGACAAAACAAACCCACACCCCCAGCTCTTGCCCTGGCAATTCAGATCTCAGGCCTGTCAAGCCAGATCTCTCTCTCTCTCTTTTCTTTCTTCATTTTTCTCTCTTTTATTTCTTTACTACATTACAATTAATAAGGACAAGCCAGATCTCTTGCTGATGGTGATAGCCCCCTTATGGCTTTCTTGCCCTAGAGCCCAGTTGGGGCCACAGCCAGGTAAGGAAGGGGTTAGAAAAGGGGATATTCATGTCCACTGGCCAGTAAGGCAAGCTGAAGCTAGAGGCCAGTCACAGCAACCCTTCAGGTAGCATTCTCCTTTTAACATTGAGTATCCATTGTATGTGTAGTAGGCTGGGCACCCAGTAGGCCCAGTATAGACTAGGTCCCTGCCCTCTAGAGACTATGACTCACCTCATCCACTCTGGCAGACTCAAAGTCTACAATAAAGGAATAAAGTATAGGGGTGGGTTCATGCCTGGCCTGTAATCCTAAAAGTCTGGGAGGCCAAGAGGGGATGGATTGAGTTCAAGAGTTTTGAGATCAGCCTGAGCAAGAGTGAGACCCCCACTCATCTCTATTAAAAATAGAAAAATTAGCTGGACATTGTGGTGGTTGCCTGTAGTCCCAGCTATTCAGGATGCTGAGACAATATTGCTTGAACCAGAAGTTTGAGGTGTGAGCCAGGCTGAGACCACTCACCTCACTCTAGTTTGGGCAACAAAGAGAGACTCTGACTCAAATTTTTAAAAAAAGGAAAAAAATGTCTGAGAATAGAAGCTCCCTTAGGACACCTTTGCACTGGGGGAAAGGAGTACTAGGCAGAGGGCATAGCACATGCAAAGACCCTGGGGTGGGAATGAGCTCCCCTTTCTAGCACCCTTTATGGTGGCCCATTAAGCCTTAACAGCTGTAAATGTAGTAATAAGCAGGTATTAATTCCTGGCTGGGATTCCTGCCTCAGTGGCCCTGCCCCAGGAGGTGGAGACCCGTGTCTAGAGACCCACAACAGGCCATGGCAGACCTACCGAGGGAAGTAGCTGCCCAGGGGCCTGGACTCCCAGGTCCTAGGGATCTAGGGATGAATAAGAGGTCAAGCCTAGACACAGTCCTGACCCTGCTATGACTCTCAAACTACCTCGAAGCAGGGTAGGGAGGGTTGTCACTCAGCCTCAGTCCTCCATCCGTAAAGGATGGAAGTCGGTATCTGGACTCTAGATTCCACTCAGTGAAAATTATCAGTACTGAATAACTTTCAGTGACTTCTGGCGACCTTCATCTCCTCTCCCCTGTCTTTCTGGGGGCAAATACACCTGGAACGGAGAGAGGGAGGGGAAGACAGACCTGCCATACATCCCTGGGCGAGCGCCCTCCCGCCTCTCGCACAGCCCCACCAGGCCTCCAGCACCCAGTCCGAACAAGGCATCAGCACAAGACTCGCTGACAGGCACAGTCGGCGTAGTGGAGGGGGAGGCGCCAGGCAATTATTTATCCATACTGGACCCCATCCCCCTCGCGTCCCTAGAGGCCAGCACCACCGCCTCCCCGCCTCGCCCCCGCCCGGCCCTGACCCCACGCGCGACGCGAGGCGGGGCCTCGGGGGGGGCGGGAGCCTTGGCGGGCGGCCGCCTTGTGGCCGGGCCCATCACGCCACCCGGGACGTGCCTTGGCGGGAGGCGGCGCTGGGGAGATAGGTAGTACACAGTGGTCCTAGGGAGGGTGACCGGGCCCCAGAGCGCGGCCCGCCCCCATGACGTCAACCCACAAGGCAGCGCGTTGTTGTGCCGTTTACCGTGGGTCTCCCGGACAACAGCAGCCGGGCAGGCGTCGGCGGCTTGGCCCCGCCCCCATGCAAATGAGGGACGTCATCCGTGCCCAATGGCAAACGGAGGCGGTGAGCTCATCGCGTCGAGCCGAGGCTATAAGGGGGCGCACGAGCGGTGCGGCGTAGGAGCCGCCGCCAGCAGAGGGCCGGGCGCAGCGGCCGCGGCCTGGGCGGGCGCAGGGCCGAGCGGACGGGGGGGGAGCGCGGGCCCCCCGGGAGGCCGCGGCCACTCCCCCCCGGGCCGGCGCGGCGGGGGAGGCGGAGGATGGAAACACCCTTCTACGGCGATGAGGCGCTGAGCGGCCTGGGCGGCGGCGGCGGCAGTAGCAACGGCGGCAGCTTCCCGTCCCCCGGCCGCCTGTTCCCCGGGGCGCCCCCGACGGCGGCGGCCGGCAACATGATGAAGAAGGACGCGCTGACGCTGAGCCTGAGCGAGCAGGTGGCGGCGGCGCTAAAGCCTGCGGCCGCACCACCCCCAGCCCCCTTGCGCACCGACGGCGCCCCCAGCACTGCACCCCCCGACGGCCTGCTCGCCTCCCCCGACCTGGGGCTACTTAAGCTTGCCTCCCCCGAGCTGGAGCGCCTCATCATCCAGTCCAACGGGCTGGTCACCACCACGCCGACGAGCACTCAGTTCCTCTACCCCAAAGTGGCGGCCAGCGAGGAGCAGGAGTTCGCCGAGGGCTTCGTCAAGGCCCTGGAGGATTTGCACAAGCAGAACCAGCTTGGCGCGGGCGCGGCCGCCGCCGCCGCCGCCGGGGGGCCCTCAGGGACAGCCACGGGATCCGCGCCCCCCGGTGAGCTGACCCCAGCGGCCGCAGCGCCCGAGGCGCCCGTCTACGCGAACCTAAGCAGCTACGCGGGCGGCTCCGGGGGCGCTGGGGGCGCTGCAACGGTCGCCTTCGCTGCGGAACCCGTGCCATTTCCCCCGCCGCCGCCCCCGGGCGCGCTGGGGCCGCCGCGCCTTGCCGCGCTCAAGGATGAGCCACAGACGGTGCCCGACGTGCCGAGCTTCGGCGAGAGCCCGCCGCTGTCGCCCATCGACATGGACACGCAGGAGCGCATCAAGGCGGAGCGCAAGCGGCTGCGCAACCGTATCGCCGCCTCCAAGTGCCGCAAGCGCAAGCTGGAGCGCATCTCGCGCCTTGAAGAGAAGGTCAAGACCCTCAAGAGCCAGAACACGGAGCTGGCGTCCACAGCGAGCCTCCTGCGTGAGCAGGTGGCGCAGCTCAAGCAGAAAGTCCTCAGCCACGTCAACAGCGGCTGCCAGCTGCTGCCCCAGCACCAGGTGCCCGCGTACTGAGCCCGAGCGCGGGGCGCATGCGCGGCCACCCTCCCCGAGGGGCGGGCTCGTGGGGGGGAGTGTCGTGGGCGCCCCAGACTTGGAAAGGGTGCGGCCCCTGGGACCCCCCTATTTGGGTGCCCAGGACTCGGAGAGGGCGCGGCCCCTGGGGATTTTCCTCCTAAGGGTGCCCAGGACTCGTAGAGGGCGCCCCGGACTCGACAAGCTGGACCCCCTGCTCCCGGGGGGGCGAGCGCAAGACCCCACCAGCCTTCGCGCTGCCTCTGTCCCCTGTGCTCGCGGTCGCCCCATGTTGCACAAACCCGCGTGCCCCGGCTGCCCCTTTGTATACACTGCCGCAGAAGGGGGTTCGGAGGGGCGCAGCCTCAAGCCCTGCGTTTCCTTTCCTTTCCTTTTTATTGCCTTTGGAAGAAAGAAGAACAGAGTGTTCGATTCTGCCCTATTTATGTTTCTATTCGGGAACAAACGTTGGTTGTGTGAGTGTGTGTTTTCTTGTGTTGGTTTTTTAAAGAAATGGGAAGAAGAAAAAAATACTCCACCCCTTTCCTCGCTCTCGCTCCTCCGCTTCCGTCCTCCCCCTCCTTTTTGTTCTGTCTTTTTGTTTTGCTACGAGTCCACATTCCTGTTTGTAATCCTTAGTTCGCCAGGTTTTCTGTTTTCAGTAAAGTCTGGTTACGCCAGCTCGGCTCTCCGCCTCCTTCTTCCCCCGGCTGGGGCCTAGCGGGCTGGGAGGAGTCTGGCCCGATCTCCCCCACTCCTCCTCCCCTGCTTCTCTGGTTTTGGGAAGGGAGCTGGCGTCCGGGAGGGGCCTGCACATCTGGCGCGCAGCGAGCGCCATCTAGGCGCGCCTGAGTTCGGGGCCCGCTGATATTGGGGCCTGGGAGGGGACGTTAGGGCCTCTGACCAGCGTTTGGTTTCTAACGTCCCACTTACCTTTGGGGGAGGAGAGATTTCCGGGTGGAAAGGCAACAGTCCTGGCCTGAGGCAGAAATATATTATGGGACTCTGTTTCCCTGTATGTGAAATGAGGAGAACAATGGAAATACTTAACCTGTAAAGTTATGAAGATTGAGAGTTTATGTTCATAGAACAGTGCTTGGCTTACAGTTGGTGCTTAATGTAAGCTTTTATTATTGTTTGGTGGAGGGAGATGGGATTTTGAGGCACAGAGAGGACAAGCTGGTGGTTCCAGGACCGGAAGGAAGATGGCACAGGTGGTGGCTGACCTATATGATATGCCTTCAGGACTGTGTGTCCACACACATTTAAAGTCCAAGATTTTTCAAGCATCTCTCTCTTCCTCCAATATCCTCTCATCCCCCCCTCCCTTTTTTTTTTTTATTTGAGACAGTCTCTGTTGCCCTGGGTAGAGTGCAGTAGCATCATAACTCACAGGAACCTCAAAACTCCTGGGCTTGAGCAGTCCTCTTGCCCTTTGCCTGGCTAATTTTTCTTTTCTTTTTTTTTGGAGACAGAGTCTCACTTTGTTGCCCTTGGTAGAGTATTGTGGCGACATAGCTCACAGCATTCTCAACATCTTGAACTCAGGTGATTCTCTTGCCTCAGCCTCCCAAGTAGCTGGAAATACAGGTGCCTGACACAATGCCCGGCTCTTTTTTTAGAGATGGGGGTCACCCTCTGGCTCAGGCTGGTCTGGAACCTGTGAGCTCAGGCAGTCCGCCAGCCTCTGCCTCCCAAGTGCTGGGATTATAGGCATGAGCTACTGCGCCCAGCCTCCGGCTAATTTTTCTATTTTTAGTAGAGGTGGGTCTCCCTCTTGCTCAGACTGGTCTTGAACTCCTGAACTCAAGCAATCCAGCCACCTCAGCCTCCTAGAGTGGTAGGATTCAGGCGTGAGCCACCGTGCCCAGCCTCCTCTTCCCTCATTTTGAGGAAACTTAAGTTGAGATAGTTTGAACAAGTGGCTTGAGGACACATGGCATTTTTAGGATCTTGGATGCCTCACGTCCTGAGCCATGGACTTCTGGCTCATTTGGGCCTAGAGAGATGTGAATGCTTTTGGCCAAGGTCACATAGCCAATTGAGCTGGTGGGCATGTGTACCAAGCCAGCCCTGTTAGGGAAGGCAGGTGAATTATACCCATATTCCAGGTGAGGAAACAGGTGCAAAGAAGGGCCACTGTATGCCCACAGTCCCTTGGCCATTAAGAGAGTCACACGTTCCACCACCTCACCACCTACACTTTTCAAGGCTGCAAGAGTGGTTCTAGGATTTGGTTTTAAACTATGTGACCTTGCCTTGTACTGAGGTCAAGCAGATGTTTCAGGAGGGGTCTCCACCCCAGGAGGACGCTGGTACCAAGTTAGGACACTGGTACACCTAAGAGACAAGTAACCACATTTTGGCAACAGAGCTTCACTGGTCAGAAACTAGCCAGTGAAGTTTCAACTTAGGTACTAATTGGCAGCTATAGTGTGACCTCAGCCAAGTCCTCTTCCCCTCATGGCTTCTAAAACCTGTGCTGTGAAATGGGTGTGTTCACATCTGGGCTAACATCTCCGAGGTCAAAAGTTGAAGTACTGGGAGGTGCTTGGGAGTTGAACAATGATTGTGCTCAGATGGTGTCCATTGCAGCCCCCAACTTATAGAGAAAGGAAGGCCCAGGAGGGTTTTGTGACTTGTCCAACACTGCTGTTAAATGGCAGAGCAGAATTTGAACTTAGACTTCTCGCCTACCTCCCAGTTGTCTAAGGCAAGAGGCCTGCAAGGAACTGCTAGGTGGAGGCTGTATCTTCTCACTAATATTTATGGACACCTACTTGGTGGATACTCTCAGTACCCAGGCAGGAAGGCTCCCAGTATGATGGAGGAGGCAGGCAAGACATGAACTGTGATGTTGGTTTTTTGGGCTTTTTTTTTTTTGCAGTTTTTGGTGGGGGCTGGGTTTGAACCTGCCACCTCTGGCATATGGGGCCAGTGCCCTACTCCTTTGGTCCACAGGTGCCACCCCCATGTCGGTTTTTTTTTTAAACCACCAATCTGATCCCCTACTTGAAAACTTTCTGGAAGAAGTCCTGACTGCCCCAGGCCCTAGGCTGCTCAATGTTTCCTTCTAGGGACCTCCTTACCAGCACTCAATTTTCTTTCCTCCTTGGCCTCAGGGCCAGAGTTCCTGCTATCTTCCTCCAGCCACCTAACTGAGCTCCACCACTCAATTGTATACATTCTCTTTGGGACCCTGTCCCCCAATAACCCTTGACCTGGGCCAGTACCTTATTAGACTTGCACGATACCCTATGCTCTGCTGTTATTACCCTTCCTTATTCCTAATTTTGGTCAAAGCCACATCCACAGCATAGAGAAAAGGACAGAGGGGGTCCTTATTGGCTCCTAAGGAGGCTAGGCCAGGCGGAGGTCTCTGGGCAAGGGTGTGTGGCTTTGGCCAGAGGCTGCTGCACTGAAGCCAAGGTGTGTGTCAGCCTTGGACTGGGCCAGTGGTGACTCATGCTGGGCCTTGGCCCAGCCCAGCCCTGAGGTGATGTGTGTCCTGTGACACAGGACAGTGACCTCACTTCCCCCTCTAGGGCCAGGGTCAGTGCCTACTTTTGCCAGGATGTGCAGGGATCCCAACAAGTGTTAGGTCCTGTCCCACCTTAAGGAGCACCCCCATTCTCAGAGCCAGACCTGAGACGCAGGTCAGAACCCATTCCTCCCTTGCTCTAATCCCTCTCATGGATCCCTGGCACCTTCTCAATAAAACCCAAACTCCTGTAGGTCCCTTCTGAGGCTCCAACTATTGGACCTCTGCTGATCTTTCACCCTGCTCACCAACCTCCTCACTATTCCCTAATCACTCCAAGGCCTTTGCCCAAGCTGTGCCCACCGCCTAAGATGCCCTCCCCCACCCCTGCCTCCCATGTCCAGCTCCTCCCCTTTTCAGGCTCAGCTGCCTGGTTGGCCTACCCCTACCCCTGTTTGGTCCCTTCCCAAACCAAATTTTACACCCCAAATTATTTGAATTGTTTGTATCCTCAAGCCCAGGGAAGGTCCCAGCATATAATAGGTGCTCAGAAAAATGCCCAAGGGATGAAAGACTAAAGCCACCTCCAGATACATGGAGGGGGAGATTTTAGGGTCCTGTCTGTGCTCAGATCCCTGATTTTCTGGTCAGGATAAGCAAGTATAGATAGCAACCACCATGAGCTTTAGCCCTGATCCACATCCTGCCCCCACCCCGTGGTTGTGCCTTCTAGAATCCACTCCCCCCAAGAGCTGGTGGGGATTGGTTGGAATGTGGCTGTGAGTCACAAAGTTGCCATGGCACCAGGGCACCAAGGCTGGCCATTAGGGCTGGTGGGTTCAGCTTCGGGGGCAGGTGAGTGGGGCTGGTTTAGGGCTTGTTTGGGGTGTACACAGGGACCTTGTTGTTCTCCTCTGGCCCCAAGCACCATTGGAGTCCTTCTGGGCCATCCGGGGTACTTGGAGGGGTGGGTTAGCTCTTTAGCCCTTTAAAGCAGAGGCACTAGGGGCTCCAAAAGCCTTGATAGTGGTTTTTCCACCTGAGGCAGTCCTCCCTGGAAAACCTGTTGTGTCTCTTTGGGACCTTGGGGACAGTGGGCTTAGCTCCTGTGACAGATGGGGAAGCTGAGCCAACTGCTCAGCATGTGTCTGGGGGGCTGTTCCTTCTTCCCATCCCCCCCAATCCTGTTTCTGTCATCTGTGTGCTTGATTGTTGTGGTGAGTGCATCCCAAGGGTCATACTGTGTGGTTGATGCAACCTTAGACTCTGGAATGGAGCCCATGCAGATCCTGAAGTGGCCATCTCCAAGTTCTCAAGCTTGGCCTGCATCTATCCATTCACCCAACCATTCATTTATTCATCCATAAACATCTACTGAGCACGTACTGTGTGCATTGTACTAGATGTTGGGGGTTCAATGGCAAATAAGAGATTGACATCCATACCTTTGAGCAGCTAGTAGTCTAGTGAGGAAGGCCAATAAGGAGCAACATAAAGAAATAGTGTGTGTTGACCTCTTCAGACCTTAGGTTCCTCTTTGTGGGGGAACATCTGTGCCCACCTCCAGGGTAGCTGGGATGGTGACTGATTTCATGACCTGTTGGTTTTATGATTCAGTCCATGTCAATGCCATTTCTGCACGGGCCTGGCCTGTCTCAGAGCTTGCGGTGAACAGCAGTCAGGGCATGTTCAGGCATTTGGGCCATTGTAGGATGAAGGCATAATATCCATTGGGAAAGGAGGAGATTTGTGGTCCAGGTGGTGGTGAGGGGTGGTGGTTCAGCTTGAGCTTGAACGTGAGAGTAAAGCAAATTAACCTGGGTAGGGTGGGGTATGGCCGTAGGAAGGCAGGAGGAGTGCAGTGGGCAGAAGAATCTGCATGTGTAGAGGCCCTCAGGTAGGACCAAATATATCCAGATGAAGCTAGAAAGGAGTCCGTAGTGTCTGAGCAGAGTGAGTGAGGAGGATCTAGATTCTTCCCGCCGCCACTCACAAAATGATCACAATCACTATACGCAAACATGGTACCAACTCACCACTTTTCTCATTTATCATCTACCAGTCCACTTGGTGTCCCCAGCCTCTCAAAGTGCCTAGTGCACACACAGTAGGTGCTTGATAAATGATTGTTCAGTGAGTGAATGAATGTGCATACTGACAAAAGGATAAACAAAGTTGTCCCCCAAAGCTGCCACTGTG